CATGACGTCACATCCGCAGCGCCACCGCAGCGCCGCCAAGCGGACGCCGTCCGCAACTGCAATCCGCCCTGCTAAGAACAGCACAGCCTGAAGATATCCAGCGACAGCGGCCGACGGCGGCCGACTTGCGGCCGCTCGTGAGTCTGGCGCACCGGCGTCGAGACTCATCGACGCTCCGCAAGGTAGCCTGAACGGTGACGTCACCCGGCCGCACATGACGTCACGGACGTTCGTTACTCTGGAGGTGACCGGATCATTGTTGAAAGTTGTGGTAGTCCAACTTGAACTGCAAGCACACTAGGACCATCGCTTTCAAGCTAGACCCAAGAACATTTGGGCACACACACTATGTGGTTCACGGCAGTCACTCTGTGGCCGAAAAAAGAAAGCGCTGAGTAAAAGAGTCGTCCGGCTGGCAGTGTCAAGCGACGGCCCACCTCGCGCACAAATCCTTGCGCTCCGAGCGGAGGGATCCGCACCAGACCGACCACCGTGCCACCTGGCAGACCCATCACGCCCTACAGACGACGCTCGCAGTATAGATGGCGCTAGTGTCGGGCCGGCCGCCGCGCCGCCGTGCTGTCGCGAGCTCGCCTCACGCCAGCGCCCAGAGCTCGACGGCGTGGATGAGGAAGTCGCGGCTGGTGGTGAGCGGCTCGTTATTGTAGGTGCGGCACGGCTCTGTGTGGCCGCGGTACAGCTCCTCATCCAAAAACAGGCCAGAGCGGCCCCTGCAAGCACGCGGACGTCAGGGCGCGAACAGCGTCCAGGTAACGCAGCACGATGCTCTTGTTAGCAAGGAAGACAAATTAGAGACACAGTGGGGAGAGCAGGCCCCCCAATTCTGAGCAGCATCTAGCACTAAACATTAGGCGCCGGATGGAGAAAGACGAGCAAAGTCACGTTTGTCCCTCCGCCCCCCCCCCCCCCCATCCCACCTCCATGAAAATTCCAACACCACCGGCTGGTAAACCACCAAAACACTCGGAAGCTTGAGAAATATTCTGAACGATCGAGACGTGGTATGGCACTGAAAAGATATTGCCTATGTAACAAGCCAAAGGCAAACAGACCATGCGCAATCTTAATATACATCATAACCTGCCATCATCGTCACATGGCAGACTGCAATTAGTTGGTGACCAGAGACCAGAACTGCGGAGCGCTTACTCTCCGGAGCCGAATTCAAGGCCGTAGAGGGAGCCTCGGGCAAAGTACTGGTTCTCGCCACTCCACCGGAACTCGCGGAACTCCGGATGGAACGTGAACAGGAACGATTCGCCAGTGCCGTAGTAGTGGGGATCCATCCGGATAGGATCCGAACTTACAGCCCCGAACACCTGGCGAGGCAAGACATGACAGTCGTCAAATAAATACATGAGTCGTGAAATTAATGCATGACAGTCGTGAAATAAATGCGTAAGAGTCGTGAAATCAATACACGAATACGATACAACTTTGCCATGCTGAAAACAGCGTACGTAAACAACGTACAACGTACGCCAACATGCTACGCATGTCTGCGCAAATCGCCAATGAACAGGCCAACGATGCGGTGATGTTACGGCGGGTGCCGCAGAGCGACTGTGCGCCGGCACTGAGACAACTATGCGCCGCCCCATATTCCTGATGCCACGCGTTCGGGACGCACGCAACAGCGACGTCAACAATTTGGGACAAATGGCTGAAGAACAGCGACAGAAAAGCTACCACCTCAAACCTCATTGCAAACCCGGTTGCTCATCAGAACGCGCAGACATTGCTCGGAGCACACCAGCTCAGCTGCTGATTCAATACAAACTTCACCTCAGTGCCACACGTGGTCACGGCCGGCCGACATCTGCGACCCCCGCGGCTCCGCCCCCCCCCCCTCCCCCCACGCGGGACGGGTGCGCGCTGACTCACGTGCTGCTCGGCATCCTGGACGAACAGGCACCATGGGGCACTCATGCTCGGCAGCCCCGGCGGTACAGCGACCTTCAGGCTGCACCCGTGCTCCACTGGTGCTGAAGAGCAGATTCCACGGATGCCCTGTGGCCAGTGGTGAACAGCTCTGTTTAATGCTGCTTTCCTTACACTGTTCAGAACAGGTCACTTGCAGCGGAACGTAGTTCGGATAGAACTGAAGCACAGTATGCCCAACGCATGTAGGATAAAGGATGCTGTTTTACGAGTAGGTCCAAAGCACGTTGTTCGGTTCCAAACAGACAACTTGGGCAGATGATTACAATCAATACGTTAAAATACCTCAGAAGTGCAACTGGCAAATGACCACGAACACCAAACTCTGCAACTTTGGTGCTGTAATGCACGTGCCTGCGACAAACAGTAATGCTTAAACGGTCCTTCCCTAAACCACATTCAGTGTCGATGCCTCTGCTCCCCACAAACGCCGCTGCCACATTCGCCTCCCTCATCCTTCTGCGCCTCGCGGAGAGCCGGCCCCAACCAGCCCGCTCGCCGGAGACGGACCGGTCCTCACCCTCGACGCGCGCCTGGCAGCAGCTGTACACGCAGGACGCCATCTCATCGGTGACGATCTCAGTCCTGCCACCAGGTCAGGGACGAGGGCCATGCCCAAACCCGGCGACTCGAGGCCGCGCGCGGCCGGATTCTCGCCCGAGGCGTCAGCCGGCTGCGGGCACAAGGAGTAGCCATCATTGACACCGGTCACGCTCACAGCCGCTCTTACGTATGCGGCCACCATCGGTATGCGCGCGATACCTTCCGCAGATAGGGACGCGTTTCGGACGGGCCCATCTGCTCGGGAGGGGGAGGGGGGGGGGGGTAGGTCGCAGCACAATGGTTATGAGTGTCGCGTCGGGTCTGGGACGCTTCCGCCGCGTGGCCATCGCCAAAGGCTACCAAGTCAATGGGGCCACAGCGAAGACGGCAGGAGCTCTCAAATACACAGGAGATTACGGTGAGCGGCCACTCTACCGAGAGTACTGCGACGCTGGGGTTATTCAACATTGCACACGGCTATCTTGCGCAGTAATATTTTATGCTGCACCAACTAGCGTATGCTGACCTGAATATCGCAGCATAAGTATCGCAAATGTTACAAGATCGTCAGGATTTACGATGGTGACAGTCAAAATCACCAGACATGCCACGGTAGGATAAGATCAGCCTTCAGCAGTCAGTTTCACGCTCTAGGTATGCCATTGTTTCGTCGTGAAAGTTTCTGACGGCCGTTTTCGGGAGCTTTTGAAATGAAGCCTCGGCAGGACTTACATTACAGATGCACGATAAACGTGATAAATCCTGGCTTTGGTAAGGCAAGAAGTCCGTTCTTTTCACGGGTGTCGATTTGTATTCTTTTGTGAGGGCCCTGCCCCCCCCCGCCCCAATGCTGAGTTGGGCCCCCAATGTTGGCTTGCCCCCCAATGTTTTTGGTTAGAATACTACAAAAAAGGTGGGTAAAAGGTGATCATAACACAAAGTATCTTCTTTGCTCTTTCTGCGTAGTGGCGTCCCGTACCACTCTCATAACAAATAGCCATGGTTGCTCTCACCACAAGATACAAATCGTAACAGCTGAGCGGATAAACGATGCAATAAATTTCACATACCTAGCGCCATAAGACAAGCGATAGTTTGAGGTTAAAGTGAAACCTCTAAAATATGGGGGTGACTAAGTCCTTCTTGGCTAACCCCGTCCCCGTCCCCCACAACCAAAATGCATGCTGCCTCCCCTGACCGCCACAGAAGAGCGCTATCGATGCCCTAATGTGGCCTCTAAGCACGTGAAGGCGCCCCGCCTTCACGTGCTGATCAGGAGAGACGCATGCGTCCAGTGCCTGCTCCCCGGATCCAACCCTGCATGACTTCAATACTTATGCTTAAATTAAGGACTTTTATAAATAATACAATGATTGCGACGTACGCTGCGTTTAATCAAAGTAAAGTTGCTAAATCCGGTGAGAAAAATGGGGAGAAAGTTGTCGGGCCTTCGGTTTGGCCTCCCAATAATTTAAAACCATTGACACTCCTGTTTCTTTTAATTGGACGTGTCTTGCGTCGTCTTGCATCTATCATGCATCGGTGATCACCGCACCTCATGAAATATTACATCAAAGTATGTTCTATATTTTGCACCTTAACCCCTCTCCCTCACACACACACACACACATAATGACGGAGCTGCAGTCAGCTGCTTCAGCGGACACCCGAGGAGTGCCTCCCAACCGGGGAGAGAAAAGGGCTGGCTGGTCGCATGTCCCTTGGAGCCATGCTTGTTACAGAGACCACAGCCTCCGCGTCAAAGGAGACATTTAGCTTTTAACACCACTCAGAAGCGCGACATTCATGACGAGTGGACACCACCAGAATGACGCCATTGCAAGAAGAAGTATAGCTATATTAAACGAATCTGTAGCAAGCAGATCCGTCCTACCAAGACAACCTCGTTAACAGGGAATAGTCCTCAACACGCGAAACCTTGTGGATGCCGTGTCCAGGGTGTCATCAATACCGCACCTGGCCTTGCCAGCGCACGCCTGGAGTCGCACAATGACAGTTTGGCCTTTCCGCATGAACGTAAGGTCACCCAGAGAGGTGGTCGACATTACGCAGCGCAAGGCAGGTGCTGACACCACTGCGCCATAACCACCAACCACAAATCACAAAATCTCAACACAGAAACGCGTTCTTCTCAGTGCATAAAGTCGACTACATAAACCACCCATAACACCTTAGAATATTTGGCTGATACGCAGTAAAAGACAACGTGTATATGCATCGCAGAGGTCGACGGTTATCCCGATGCGATTAGTACCACGCTGGTGGGGACCTCCAGGAGATCTCCACACTGGAGAGACTGCAATGGTAATGCCGTGCCGAGGACGTCAGTGCTGCAGATGACGCTACACCGCCGTCAATGTGTAGGAACGCCCATCAAGATGCTATGACTCGCCAGAGAAGTTCCGTGATGAAATTAATCGATACAAACTTGGAATATGAGACACGGAATACGGAAAATATGGAGTCCCGGTGAATATTGGAAGCATAAAGAAGATGGCCTACATACGCAACAGCTCAGGGAGCCGAGGTAATGAGTGTGACAACATACGATTGTACATGAAATCAACGGGTCAGGGCTGCCTGCAACATCTTGCAACTAACGTCAACATGACATAACACCATGACGGGACGATAACACGACCAAACCCGACTGGCGCTGCCGACTGACCAGTCCGACATACTGCTGCTGACCAGGCAAAAACACGGCGAGTCCCCAACTTCCCACACGCTAGCGTGCTTTAAAAGTATCCAACGGTGCCTACATTCACGTAATATCTTTGCCGAAGTTGAACATACCTCGAGGCAGCGACCCTGCGGGCGTCACGGTCGCCACCCTGCCCCGGGCCAGGCGTGACGTCCCTAGCCTTGGGGCAACCGGCGGCGGCGGGCGCCGTTTCACAAGGCGTGCGGATGCCATGGCGCAACACCGGAGCCGGGCACAAAGGAGCGGCGCATGTCACCCGTCGAAGGGGCTGGCCACTGGGTCAGGTCCGGTCGGAGGACGGCGCCGACGCCCGAGCCGTCGCCAGGCGACCCTCGCGCCTCGCGTGGCGCCGCTCAGGTCGTTAAGGTCACCCGTGCGGTCAAGGGTCAAGGTCGCGCGCCAGCCGCGCCTGACCGCGGCAGTGACACGAGCAACGCGCCGCACCCGCGGCCTGTTCGCCGATCAGCACCGGATCCCATCAGGCGCTCCCTTCTGTGAGCGGCATTATCGCGGATATAAGCATTCCTGCCGTAATGCCGGCATCTGGTGAGAGTTGTCCCGTCGCAGACCATGAACTGATTTCTATTGTTGCTGCCTTAGTAGGTTGCGTGGCACACTTCTGACCGGTCTTCATATGGGATTACGGCTTCCGAGATTACGTCGACACGTCCCGCTGGAAACCCGAGCGAGTACCATGGATGAGGAATGCTCCTGTGCAGCGGCTTTGATTTGCAATTGCACTTGATTGCATTCGAATTTTGAATGCATGAATGCAACTGTGCCCCATGACCGTCGGCCGGCATTGCAGTCAACCATTAGCGCCCAACGCATCTTACGTGAACTGTCAGCTGTTTGGGGTTTGCCGGACACTTAAGCTCATCCGGAGGCCGTTGCGGTGCCAGCCTTGAGAGCGTGACTACTGCGCATTCGATACGCAGAGATAACGTGCCGCCCCGTTCTTCATCCTTGACTTGTGCCAGCCGACTGCACATCCGCGCACCTGCGCGTAAAACAATGCGTGCGACGTTTGTGAACTTTTTCTCCTTGTGCTCTTTCCCATTGGACCCCTTATTGTGTGCAAATTTTCGGACCTTACAATGGTTTCATGCTCGCGCACCACCACGTAATTTGCTGATGTGCTGACGCGTCTGACAGCGGTGACGATACGCACTGGAAAGAAATGTCAGTGGTGCTGTGAGTCGATGTCAGGGAGTAAAAGAAACCGGTTGGCCTGCTCACAGGTACATTGATAAACCTTAACGAGACGATGAATTACTGGCCACTGCGCTACACGGCACCAAACACGACGAGACATCAGACGCCGAACACGATATTCCCCGGGATTTTCAAGACTGGTCCAAGCATCTCCCCGTACATCATCAAGATCGGCCTCGCCTTCCTTTGTCCCCCCCCCCCCCCTTCCCTCCTGTCACTCCACCAGCGCCGGCTCGCCCAGATCGCCGGCGCCGGTCCGTTCCTAGCGCAGCGACCTGGTTTGCGGCGCCCGGCACCGCGCGGCACCGCCGGCACGAGAGAGCTGGCCCCGGCCGGCCGGCCCGGCCTGGCCCGCGCACATACCTGCACGCCGCATGGCCCGGCCGTGCAGACGTGCGGCCGCACGCGCCATCTCCGAACCCGGCACGGACGTGCACGGCCGGGTGTTTTTGCGCGTGCCGCGCGCGCGCGCCTCTTCCCTTTCCGCGTGCGGAGAATGCCGGACGGTCCAGCACCGTAACAAACGACTGAGAATGCTTTGTTTGCCAGTCTATTGACGGCGCCTCAGTCAAGCCTGACTCAGCCGACCATCGGATGCAAACACAGGCCAGTTTGAAGCACGCCACTGGGCCCTCGCACACGAGGTATTTCGCGGAGTGACGAAAGGCCGCCGACCTGACCGGCCCCCAGGCGCTGCGGCGCCCCGGGGTCTGCTGCGGCGCTGGACAGGAAGGGGATGACTGCCGGCATGGCCGCGGGGGACGGGGTGACCTTGGCCCGGTCCGCAGGAGCCGACGGCGAGGCCGGCAGAGGCAGATGAGCGGGGTTTGTGAAAGTGCCGTGGGCTGAATTCAACCGCGACCTTTCGTTCACGAGTCCTTTAACCCACATGCAGTGCCGGAAACAATATAAATGCCGGAATTAATCCAAAAATGGCGTGAATTCCTCGGCTAAATCTGCATGACCAGATCGAGAACAGCCAGCGCACCAGCAAACCAATGAAAACGGGTAGGAACATCCGCATACTACAAAAAACCTAACCTACCGAGCTCGACAACGCCAAAAGTCCAGCCCAACGAGCAATAGGTCGTGCCCCAGTTTTCCGAAGCCTGCCATCATGGCGAGGCCGTGCACCTTTACCCGCTGTTGTACTTCCAGAAGCATTGTGATTTTTCCAAGAATATTCGGAA